CACATTCATTATGAAGAATGCATTTTTCTCAAAATGTCAATAATGAAAAAGTTTTTCACCTTATAAAGATAATCCGAGGACACACTGTAAATTTTTCTGTTTTTAACTTAAAAACCTGTGAAAAAAGAGGTGTAAAGTCTCTTTATTATTGAACCAAAGAAGTAAAAAAACAACGTTTTAAAATAAGCGTTGAAAAGGAATTAACCCTAACTTGTTCGAGCCCTTTCCAATTGGGTGATGGAGTTAAAAACATTCATTTAAAAATACCGGCATTCTCCATCTCCTTTCTTCTTACTTTCGACCTTATCTGTCTGTCTCTACCCGGAATAATTCGATTGCCACAATCAAACCCGGACTTTTTCCAGCTAGGGATGTGTTAAATATATCGATAGATCAAAATATAGATACATATATCTATAATTAACTACTCATTTTTATTCCAAGAAAATAGGCCTTTAATTTAAAATAATCTTTCACAATTCACAATCACTTTCACTTTCACAATCTTTCAAAGTAACTTGTGTGACTATATTTTTTAATCTAATAAAAGGTTTTTATTGTAAAAATTGCTGCTTAGTTGAAAATTAGGATTGCTTTGTTTCAAAATGTTACTGTACTTCAACTAATTGAAATTGTATATTCTTCTTAATTCGTTCAAATAAACTACAGATATTCGTAAGGGTAACTACAATATTGTAAATTTAATCATAACTCTCAAAAATTTATAAAGTCCTGTATTAACAAGAGAGATTTAAGAGAGAAATTTACATTCATACTATCGATATTTTTTATATATCGATAATTAATTTATCGATATATCGATATTCAATTTATTGATATTTTTAAAAATATCGATATTCATCTATCGATACTTTCTTAAATGTCATTATTTAATCACGATGAAGTATCAAACTACCCATATTCTTATAAAATATTGATTTTAAAATATCGATAATTAATCTATAGCCATTTTTTTAAATACCAATATTCAAACAATTGATACTTAAAAAGTACGGATGCACAAAATTCTCGATATTCAAACTATCAATATATTCTTAAATATCGAGATTTAAAACACATAGGAAAACAAACTATCGACATATCGATATTTAAAAAATATCGACAAATTGATTTTTTTGATAAACTATAAAGGCTACCAAAGTTACCACTTTTTCTGAAATATCGATATGTTAAAATATCGACATTATAACTATCGATATGTTAAAACATCGATATTATAACTATCGGTATGTTAAAATATCGATATTATAACTATCGATATGTTAAAATATCGATATTATAACTATCGATATGTTAAAATATCGGTATTATAACTATCGATATTAGATATGAGGATATTTTATATAAAATATGTTAAAATATCGATATTACAGCTATCGATATATTAAAATATCGATATTGCAACAATAGATATATTAAAATATCGATATTATGACTATCGATATTTGTGCACATCCCTATTTCCGACCGATTGGCCGGCATCGGCCTGTGGTAATTACGTTTGCGCCAATGGTGCGCTCATTAATTTCAATGAAGAAGTTAATTTCGCCCCGATGGCCATGGTAGTACGGTTTTGCGGATATCGATCCCTAAACGGATCCGTGTCAATTTTCTGCACAGTCTTGCACCTTTTTACCGCCATTTAAAGCCGGTCGCAGTGTCATCTTAAGCCAGTCTAGAAAAATACACTCTTTTTTTAAATTTACATTTCACCACAATTTAATATACTGTAATCCAAAAGAACGAAACACTTTTGTTACGACCAATCAGCTCTATCGATTTGAAATAAACTCTATTTTGCCGCATCGTGCAGTGTGCATTTATATTTTCGAACAAGCTCTGCCAAAACTGACCAGTACATTTGCTGCACGCCACTCTTTTTTTTTTCTTTATTTCATTTGAGAATATGAGAAGGGACGAGATATAACCTTTGAAACTTCAAAAAATGTCTGATTATTAGAAAAAAATATTCATGAAAAAACTAATTGGGAAATTGGTTTCCGCAGATTTTTAACCTTAAGGAAAAGCCATCTTCTGATGCGTGTCAAATACTCGTCAGTATGTATATGTATATATAAGAAAAACCACATTACATCTTATATTCGCTTTAATATTACATTAGACACATCTGTCGATTGAAAAAATTACGAAAAAAAATCTTTCCAACATGAAGGAAACTAAAACGACCTAAAAGATGGCATCGTAAAAATCAAAAATCACTTGGCAATGGAAAGCATATATCCAGACGTTCCATTAGGCAAATAGAGGTATGATTGAATGGACATAAATATTTATGGCAAAACGGTTATGTGTGAAACGGAAGTATAGGTTTGGACGTGGCAGATTCAGAGCGATAAATAACAGGACATATTTTTCTCGGTATAACAAATCTATACTAATATAATCCTTAAGTGACTGACTCACTGATTAATCACGATCCGGCTCAAACCACTCAACGTAAGAAGCTCAATTTTGGCATACAGGTTGATTCTAGGGTGTAGAGGTTGGATAAGAAGGGATTTTTTGAAATTCCAGTTCCAAGGGTGTGAAACCATCCCTCAAATATTACAATATTTTACAAAAAAAAACGGTCAAGTTCCCGAAAAAAACACGTATATTTTATTTTGTTTTTTTACATATTTTAAGATTTTTTAAAAACGTATACAGTGTGTTTCGAAAAATCTGGTCATTGATTAATCACGATCCTGCTTAAAGCGCTTGACGTAAAAAGCTGATTTTTGGAAAACGGATTGACTTTAGGGTGTAGAGGTTCTATAATATGGGATTTTTCGAAACTCGAATTCTAAGGGGGTGAAACCATCCCACAAAAAAGTAAGGTAATTGATTAACCACGATTCTGCTCACACTGCTTGACGTAAAAAGCTTATTTTTGGCAAACGGATTTTTCGAAAGTCAAATTCCAACGAGATGAAACTACCCCTCGAATATTACCAAGTTATATAATAATATCGCCATATTGTTTTTTCTCATGCGGACATAAATGTGAGAAAATGTTATCCAGTTTGTATGTTAATGGAAATTCTTGCTTTGCTTTATCATCGCCATTACAAATGATGAATTCGACGCGAACGAAGTCGCGGGTACACGCTAGTATTATAATAAACTGACTAATGAGAAGAAAACAAATCTGGAGAAACGAAGTGAAGTAAAAAACCGACAGCAACATACATAAAATAGAGTACACAGAAAAAGCAGCAGGGAATAACAGCTGAAATATTTAAGTACGATGGTAAAAGAGCTTGGTTGCATTACAATCGAAGCAAATCGAAGGCCATCGATATGTACAGGGTGTACCATTGAAATCATAGGGCTTCTCCGTTATTAGTGAAGATAGAAGGGTGCGGTTTGCACAAACCTATCCCACTTTTTTGTCAAACTGAAGATACCGAAAACAAAATTTTCATAGCCCTCTTCGTTTCTGAGCTACAGGGTCTTTTTGAAAATTTGGTATCCCAAATTGCAAAAGCCACTAATAAATTCTTCATATATTAGGGAAACTTAACTCTCTACCGCTATTTATAAATCTTGGAAGCTATTGTACCGGAACTTTTAGATATTCCTTTAGCTAATTTACGTGAAATATACTTTCAGCAAGATGGGGCTCCCCCTTACAACTTTGAAAATATTAGAATTTTGTTAAATTATTATTTCTCAAATCAATTAATTGGAACCAATGGACCCATATGATGGCCTGTCTGATTTCCGAATTTATCCGTTCTCGATTTCTAATTTTGGAGATTTTTGAAATATGAAATATAACGTGGCAACACTACAACAATGTCGAACGCCTGGAAAAAGGAATCCTGGCATGAAGAACGAATAACAGATGGACCACAAAAATTACAGCATGATAGTCACGAGGAACTAAAATACCTAGATGAATTGTAAAGAGTATTAAATAGTTTTTAATGTTGCTCTTTGGTGTTCTAAAAGGGTACATAAAAACACAGAAAAAATGTATAACAATCTTTATAATAATGTTAAAATTTATTATTTTTGCTGTTAAATAAAGAAGTGCCTATGTATTTAACACTCTGAGGTGAGTATATTAAGGATCTCCGCAGGAACTTTACGGACTTTATGGCTCTCTGTTTATAAAAGTTTATGTTAACACCGAACCTGTTTTAAACAGTGGCAAATAAAGCGAGTTTATGAGCTTTCCGAAGTATTACTAAACTCCTACGTGTGATAGATTGCATATTTTGCAATATACTCTATCCATAAAACTACAGGAAATATAATTTTGCTTCCAGAAATTTTACTGCAAAATTATGAACTCTTTATCTTATTAGAATTGACTCACGTCACTCTATAAAAATAAAAAAGTAGAGTATCTTTATATACAGGGTTGTTCACCACATACGACACGGAGTATTGTAGCTAAACGATGAGATTTTTACAAATTGTAAGTTTTGGGTTCGATGAAGGACTATTAGAGGTACAATTTAAAAATAATTTTACAAGATACAGAGTATCCCAAATAAGTAAAAAATATCAAAGTTGTAATTTTTTAAATGGAACACCCTGTATATTATTACATTTTTAGTTTCTACGATTAAAATGAAGGTAAATTTGATTAAGATTTATTATACTTAAACCTTACCGTTTTTGAAATATTTTCAATTTTGTGAAATTGCAGTAAAAATTTTAAGGTAGAGTGGACAATTAAAATGGTCAAAACTGGGTTTTGTTTTGGAATTTATGGATTTATACGAAAATGAGCCCTTCATATGGATGGCCAAACATAAAGAACATAGAAATCGCAGTAAAAGAACTTAAAAAGAAAAAAGAATCACTAGAAACGACAATTTCGGGACGACCGGTATCCATCGATGCGACTATACTGTTTTACTTGCCATCGTCTAACGTCGCTTAACTTCGGTGATCCATCAAGAACTGGTGTTTTGACGTAGCTTATTAAAGACAATCTTACTAATATTTTTCTATTTTTGTTACAGATTACACTGGTACTATTCATCTCCTTGGTCCTGGCTACTCTATCCAAACTCTTCAAGTCTGAAGGTATCTGGATCTCATTCCACGTAGTCCAAGGCCTGCAAGGTATCCTGATAGCCATGTTGGTCACCTGCAACTGTCAAGTACTGAAACTGTACATGCGCAGTCTAAAATCCAAAGCAACGCTTCATGTACCAAGCTATGTTGGACAAGGGAAGAGTTCTGGGCTCAGCAAGTCAACGAGTTTGCAATTGCTGACCTGGGATCCGCCCCCAGATCTTGTTTAAGAATATTTTTTAAGTTAAAGAAAAACAGGGATCTGTAAATTTATATAAGATGTCTCAAAAAAGGTTTTTTAGACTATAATGCAAAATTTTTAGTTTTCTCATAGTCATTACTGGCAGAAAAAATGAGAAATCTTTAAAAATACCATTTCGATTTGTGGAAATATGCTAATAAAAAAAATAATTGAAGTGGCAATAAAAAATTACCTTAATGTTAAAGTATAAGTTTTCTTTTTTTTTTGAGTCACCTTATAGAAGTAATTCAATAAAATGTAATTATATATTGTAGCTTTTAAGATACTAGTATATGAAGCGCTTTTTAAAAAAAAATTGTGTCTATTTTGCGAGAAAAAGTAATATTTTTCAACTTTATTTTGTTTTGCATTATCAATAATACATTTTTCTTTATGCCATTTATTTTTGTTTACATTCAAAATTATTTTTAGTAAATGTAGATAAAAAAAGTAAAAATATTTTAGTGTTAAAACGTATGATCGAAAAAAAACATCGTCCAGTTGGCTTGGAAAGGACGATCGATAACATTCCTCATATAATTTTCGATATACAGCGATCTTCATTTCATAGCCATCGCTGACGCTGTTTTTTTTTCGATCGTATGGTACTATACATAATGTAAATAAATAAAATATTGTATTAAATGCAATATATGCTTCATTTTCTTGTATTGACATAAAATAATTACAAAAAAGTTACTAATCTGAACATAATTTACAAATGAAATAATAAATTATATTACTACCATAGAATCGAAAAAAAAAACAGCGTCAGGGATTTCTGGGGAATGACCATTGATGATAAATCTGGCGAGATCAATTTTTAGTAAATGACCTTTAGATTTTGTCATATCACAGCAGTCTTTGACGCCGTTTTTTTTCGATCGTACAGCATTGTCTGAAATAAATCTAAATGTTTCGCTACTTAAAGAAAATTTTGTTGGGTGACATTTTACAAAAAAAATTGTATATTTTAGACACAAAATTAGAGCCTCAAAGGTATAGAAATTGTTTAATAATATTTTTGTTATATTGTAGTTTATACCATGTTCTACATAATGTATAAAAAATATCAAGTTTCTGTTGTTTTGTCGTTAGTTAAAAATTGTACACACCCCTGGTATTGTAATTAACCATATCAAATAATAGACTAAGGAATTTCGTGTCGTATGCATTAAGTAAAGGCAAATAAATAAATATTTTTATTTAAAAAATGTCTAGGTGTGCATTATTTAATCAAGTTTAATAATGGATTAACAATCACATTGTTATTGATTGAGTATTTTGACTACAATCTAATAAAAAAGTATACCTTAATCTAATACTGTGATTACTGATTAATCTCGATCCTGCTCAAACCACTCAACGTAAGAAGCTCAATTTTGGCATACAGGTTAAAAATCGTGTTTTCTTTTAATTTTCCTAATGTTTTATAAAACTTTTTAGCACTGCTCTTCACCGCTACTTATACACTAATAATTATATCCCCTAGAACTCTAGCATCCCGAAATATCCACAAATTTATTTGATTTCGACAAATTCGTTAATTGTTCATTAATTTAAACCAATGCTTAATCGGGTGAGATTTAAACAATTACTCTTTGGCAACAATAATAATTGTTGACGCGCATCAATTAGATATAATAAACAACTGACTTTAATGCTAACGAGGCACGTGTTAACTGGATTTCTACAATTAATTGCCAAAACTAGAGAATGTTTTAATTAAAAATTCGAAATTTTTGAGGGTAATATCTTTTTATAGTCATAATAATAGGTGTTTTAATTTGAGTAACCTTAGATTTGTAAATCTAAAAACAGATCATTTTTGTATTGTTATTAACTTATCTTGATCTTTAAGGACTCTAAATTTTATAGTAAAGTAATAGAAGAACAACTGAACGTTATTTTGAAGGTAGCGTCTTCTTTTTTCTGTTGTTTGCGCTATGGAAAGATGTGTACAATAGGAAATATTGAAAACAATAAAAATCCATCTTTTTCGATATTATAATAAACATTCTGTGCTGAGAGTCAAGCTGCATTAAAAGCGATCAACTCAGAAACCATCAATTCGAAGTTGGTCAAAGAATGCCTAGAGAAAAAAAAGAAATGGTTATATTATGTCTGTGGTTAAATTAAACTGAAAATAAGCAAAATGTTGATCCATACTTTGCGTTATGCTTTATAGGCTTGGTGGATTGCAGTTGATTTCAACAAATTCAGACAGCAGCGCTTCAACGGCAAAAAATCAGAAATTATCAGTACCTATTTCACACCGCCGCGCCGCCATGTTGATCGCATTAAAATAATATTGAAATCGTGGTTTTGTCATAATATTTAAGTATTTTAGTTTTTTGCTAGTGTAGTTATTGGGACTATAAACACTCAGGTACGAGATTTGTGTGATGTAACGATGTTTCGAGGAGTAAAAAATTAGTGAAAAAGTATTTGAACTAGGCGTCGTGTTGTGTTGACAATTTCAAATGTCAATAAAATTGCCGAAAAAATGCTAACGCGTAAAGGAGAGCGTAATTAGGGCGTTGTTGGGTGCAATAACATTCAATAACTCAACTTTCCCGGATATTCAACTCTCCCGAAACAACCATAGTTTCTCACACCGATTTGTGATCAAAAGCAAAAATGAATTGAAACAAGTGGGTAAACAAAATGCCCGTTACATAATCAAAAAATTAAATATACATACTATGAGAGGATAAAATATAATTTACAATTTCAATGGTATACTTTTTTTTAATCAATTAGTGATTAAATTTTTATGAACATCTAAAATTATGATTATGTACCTTTAAATAATGTTTTTTCTTTTCCATAAAGACAACAACTTCAACTCAATTTTCAGTTTTTTCTTTGACCTATATATTTTCCATTCTTCTCCGATGCTATTCAACTCCCCTCTGGGGAGTTGTAAAAAATCAAATGGGGCAAAACTGGAAACAAAGCGGCTTTTAAGGACGAAAAAAGGTCCAGTGGGACCAAGAATCGCTTTTTATATATATAGATTCCTTTTCGGGACAAGCAAATATGTTCCCGGTAGTCACCCTGTTATAGGTGGCTTTTATAGACTTTTTATTGCTCTTGTCTTCATATTGGACCCGTTTTTTTTTCAGATAATATTGTGGAGTATCCTATTTTTTGTGTGGGGGTGTTTGAAAAGAAATAATTCCAGAATTTTCTGAGAAATAATAGTAGAAAATGGTATATTGTTTTATTTATTGTTATTGTATATTAATGCATTTAATATGGCCAGCATGGCCTATAATATTGTCAAAGTTAGCAAGAAGAAACATCAGACCATATCTTATAAATACCGTATGATCGAATAAAAACGGCGTCAACGATGGCTATGAAATGAAGATCGCTGTCATTTTATATGTAAAATTATATGGGAAATGTCATCGATCGTCATTTCCAAGCCAACTGGACGCCATTTTTTTTCGATCATACGGTATTATAATATCATATTTTACACAGCGTACTGTAAACTTGGATAAAGACCACCAAGAAGAGGTTGGGGGAGGCGTACCCCAGGGATCGGTTTTGGGTCCTACCCTTTGGATCATCCTTTACGATGACGTAATGGAAATAAGGGTGCCTCAAGGAGTAAAAATAATCTGCTACGCAGATGATCTGGCTGTATTAACCACAGCTGAAACCTCCGGAGAAATGATACGCAAAACCGACGAGGCTTTACAATATATATACTTGTGGATGAATCAAAACAAGTTGCGCCAGAGAAAACAATTGCTATTCTTCTAAACCGAAAGACAAAGATAGGTGGTATACAATTTAAAGTCGGTGGGAAGTACGTTAAACCAACTAATACGTAATAAGAGTAATACATCATATTAGACTTCTCTTAGATCAAAATAAATTTTAGTTGAGTCAGTGGTATCCGCTATTGGTTTAAGAAAAGTGTCTCTTTAATCAAGAAATGTCCCTTTTCAATCAAGAATTTTTGTATGAATCAAAGAGACTATTGTTCTTGTAGCAAGAACTTCTTTGCATATTAATTTTGGGTCAAGAGTGAAATACTTCGGACAGATAGATTCTTCTATTCTCTAAAGTAATTTTTTAAAGCTTAAGAAAAGAGAGTTAATGCTTTGGGCAAAGAAACGTCGTTCTTGGCCCTATTGAAAAGCCTTGCCGACTGAGAGATCCTTTTTTTCAGTGAACCAACTTTTGCAGCCTATAAAAAAAATTTTTTCCTGTCCTGTTATATTAAAATAAATAACATATGCTCTCAAAAAAATGTAATGCCGTAATGGAGAAAATTCTCCCTGAGTATTATTTCCCCCATGCGATCCGTTTTCTCCTTGCTAAACCTTAATTATGCCATCGTTAAATTCCACTCGACGACTGAATTTTTCGCCGTGTCTTACATAATGAGAAAATATACCCCCAGGGAATTCTTCTTCTTCTTCTTCTTCTCCCCCGAGAGTTTTGGCTTCTATTAATTAAAATAGAATTCTTTGACAACGACATGCCGCACATTTTATTCTTTTTTAATATATTTTTGGTTTTGTTTAAGTTAAAAAACTACACTACACATAATAAGGTACACTTTTACTGAATACTTTTAGGCAGGAAGTAACGGTTTTTAATGCGAAATTTACGGCACCCTGTCGACAGAGAAAAATCAAAAATTTTCCTTAATTTAAGTAAAAACAATCTTTCAATGAACACCTCAGTAGATTAAAGCTAAGATACAACAGCAAATACAGATTCTGTGAGGAAAATGGAGAAACACCAGAACATCTCATCACTGAGTTTGCCGAGACGACAACCATTCGAGCCATGAAGTTTTTTCATAGAGATTTCGTCTGTGACCCCATCTATTATGTAAACCTTCACTTTGTGGTGTTTGTATAGTATTTACTTAGTAATGACTAGTAATATATATATACAGGGTGGTCCGAACTATATTATATAAATTTAAAAATTATATAAAAATCAGTAAAGAATTTCGTAGAAATGTACCTATGTCCTAAAATGCTTAGTTTCGGAGATACAGAGGGTAGAAGTTTCATATTTATTTCGATTTTTTCCAAATAATTTTAGAATTAACGTCTTCTTCTTCTTCTTCTTCTTCTTCTTCTTCTTCTTCTTCTTCTTCTTCTTCTTCTTCTTCTTCTTCTTCTTCTTCTTCTTCTTCTTCTTCTTCTTCTTCTTCTTCTTCTTCTTCTTCTTCTTCTTCTTCTTCTTCTTCTTCTTCTTCTTCTTCTTCTTCTTCTTCTTCTTCTTCTTCTTCTTCTTCTTCTTCTTCTTCTTCTTCTTCTTCTTCTTCTTCTTCTTCTTCTTCTTCTTCTTCTTCTTCTTCTTCT